AAAACAAATTAGCTATACAAAAAGTCTATTTTTGTTTACGCTTGACCAACTGCATTCCCACCACCCAAAAAAAAGAAAGAAAAACAAAAAAAAAACACTCAAATTTCAGCAGCTCGGCTGTAACGGCAGTTCGTTTAAACAAAAGAAGAAAATAATAAAAAAACGACAAACCTCGACTTCATTACGGAAGCCTTGTGTGACAAATTTTAAATAAAAAACGCCTAGCATGAATCCAAAAACTACTACTAATTCAAATAGTTAACCCTTTCAAGGCCGAAGGCATTAAAAGACACTCTAACTTCTACAATTAAAATGTTGCCATATGTTTGGTAGCAAATTTGACAAAGTCAAATATACCGCGTCGCAGTGGCGGAAAAGTGGCTCGTGAGCTGAACATATCGCAATATTTCATTCGGTAAATATTGAAAAATGAGCTCGGGGTAAAGCCATTGAAATTCCAAAAAATGCAAGAACTTACACCGCAAAAAAAATAGACTCAAAAGAGCTAAAAAGTATGGTTATAAAATGAATTTTCTCTTTCATTTCCAGCGCACAATGGCCGGATACCAATCCGTTGGACTATTGTGTCTGGAGTATTTTGGAAAGCAAGGTGGGGACTAAAAAATACCAAAGTGTCGATCACCTCAAGTAAGCGCTTCGCCGGGAATGGTCCAAAATATCGCAGAGCAACACCCGGGCAGCGTGTGAGGGTTTCATTGGCCGTTTGAAGGCCATAATTCGTGCCAAAGGTAACCAATTCGAACAAATCTAAACTTTTTCTAAAATTTAATTCTATTTTCGACATTTTTTTACTTTCATTCAAAAAATTTAAAAAAAATTTAAAAATTATGGCGTTTGACTTTGTTGCAGTTTTTTTCATATCACCCAGTACAAAATTTATAAATCTGTAGAAAAATACGCTTCAATGTAAACCTAGGTTTAACCCATTTTGCAACATCAAATACAGATGGCGCTAAATTGAGAATATAAACTCGCTAATGGATACCACACTCTATCGTATTATACTAATTTATTTATTATTTTATTGACGTGTTGGTGTCAAAGAAATTTATATTTTCCAAGGCATTTTATTAACAGCTATTATACCCGGAGGAGGTATTTATCTGAAGAAGATAAATATATACTTATTCATTTGTATAAACCCCGCCAAAGCCAATGGATAGAATGGAAAACAGATGGCGTTATATTGAGAATATCAAATCGCTAGTGTGTACCACACTCTATCGTAACGCTGGTGTTAAAGAGAATTCCATTTCATGGTAGAAGAATATAGGTAGTCGTATCGACACAGCAGCTGGGAAAATGAACTGTCAAACCAATTTTTAAAATTGAACCTTTTTAATGAAAAGTTATTTAAATTTGTAAAAAAAAAATGAAAAAATTTACATCGTAGCAACCTTTGTTTGGTGTCGTATGAAAAAAAATTATAAAAATCAACTCAGTTTTGAAAAAAAAAACAAACATTTTTGACATATCAATGTTCCCAAGTGTTGATGCATCTACCTGTACTCTTCTACCATAGGGCATACGTTAATCACTTTCCAACAACCAAAGGGTTAACTGTCGTAGTAAACTGTTACAGTACATTTAATGTGCGTAACATATAATTAAATGCCAATAACATTTTTCTGACTCAAACACACACACACACACCAAAAATACCAAAAACAACAGCAGCAAATAACTAAACCAAAATAAACACCCACTTTGCCAAATAACAATAGAAAACGTGATATTTTTAAAGCACGAGCCAACAAAAAATCGGGTAGGAAACCTCTTTGTTATGTTTTGCATACGAATGAAGAAAAGCAAAAAAAAAGTTATAGAAGTAACAAAGGTTACATGAAAGAGCATGTAATGTATAAAAGACGTCGTTTAATGGTGCAAAGCAATGTGGTGTTTTTTTTAATTAAAATTATGTAAATTCTTTTTAGTGAATTTTTCATAGTTGTTCTGATGGCGGAAATTCTTTAAAGAGGTATAAGGGCTTGTTTAAATTAGTAGTATTTTCCAGGTTAACCTTCATTATGAACCCAGATAAGTGGAACGTATTTTATTGCAATCTATCAAAACCTAATGATGATAAGTGGAACGCTTTTTATTGGTATGTATCATTGTAGAAGGAAACAGGTAGTGGCATTGACAAAACTGCTGGGACAATGAACTGTCAAACCAACTTTTAAATTGAAAAATTATTCAAATTTGTAAAAATTGTTAAAAAAAAAATCGCATATCATAATTGCCTCCAGTTGTCGTCGTATAAGAAAACATATACAAGTCTATTAACGGGTGAGATAAAAAAATTGGACAAAGTCAAACGCCATAATTATTAATTTTTTTTTGAATGAATGCAAAAATGTCGGAAATAGCTTCAAATCTTAAAATAAGTTTAGATTTGTTCGAATCGGTCTCCTTTGACACGAATTATGGCCTTCAAACAGCCAATGAAACCGTCACACGCTGCCCCAATGTTGCTCTGCGGTATTTTACCCAATTCCCGGCGAAGCATTTGCTTGAGGTGATCGACACTTTGGTATTTTTAGTGCCAACCTTGCTTTCCAAAATACTCCAGACACAATAGTCCAAGGGATTGGTATCCGAAGATGTTGGTGGCCATTGTGCGCTGAAAATGAAGCGAGGAACCTCATTTTGTAACCATTCTTGGGTGACGCGTGCTCAGTCCTGTTAGAATGTCTTAGGTCTGCGGCCAAAATGTTTGCGTGTCCAAGGCTTTGATACACCCTCCAAAATTATATTCGGCATTTATTCTGATGCCACGGTCGATTAATATGAGCGGAGAGCGACCATCGGCTGTTATGGCGGCCCACACCATCACCATGGTCGGCGCTTGAGTTTTGGTGGCCAACCGAAGGTGCACATTTTCAGCTGACCTCTATGGCAAGTAAACACGATCATTTTGTTTGTTTACAAACAGCTGGACGACGAATGTTTTCTCATCGGAGAAAACCAAATTCGGCAGTTCACCACTTTCGGCCAAGCGAAGCAACTCTTTAGCTCTTCTGAGTCTATTTTCTTTCTGTTGCGGTGTAAGTTCTTGCACATTTTGGAATTTCAATGGCTTTAACCCGAGCTCATTTTTCAATATTTGTCGAATGGAATATTGCGATGTACTCAGCTCACGCTCCATTTTTTGGCCAATGCGACGCGGGTTTCGATTCAGTCTCTTCTTTACTTTTAGAATCATTTCTTCTAATGTTGCTGTTTTCTTATGTCCAATTCCTTGACGTCGGGCTACTCTACCAGTATTACGGTAACGAGCGATGTTACGAGACATTTAAATTCTGGAGTGCTGAAATAAAAAAAAATAACACTATCACGCTTGAATTTCATCACGAATAATTTTTTTTTCGGGAAAATTCTCACCAAAATGCTTTTCTACGCTTATAAACAATATAATGAGCTGTCACTGTAATAATTTTAACAGCTGACGGACGATTGGCTTAGAAATGACAGCAGTCTGAAGTTGATTGCAATTTTTTCATCTCGCTCTGTATTAATGTCAAATTATAAGGGGAAACGATGGCAGGATTCGAGTGCGGCTCTGGCTTCCCTTTATGATATGTCACAAAATATGCCATACGAAGACTTCAAGCTGCTTATGTAATCGTAAAATATTTTTGCTATTGTTTCAATGCAAAATGTAAATAACTCCTTTGTGGAAATATTTGCGACTTTAGAGTGTACCGCAATACAGGTGCTGCAAGCAGTGATGATGATGGAAATGAATGAAAAATTATTTAAATTTGTAAAAATTGTTGAAAACGCGTATTATAATAACCTCGGAATGACGTCGCATAAGAAAACATATAAAAATCTACTTATATGCATCTACCTGTATTCTTGTACCACGAAGGGTACAGGTAGTCGCATCGACACAGCTGATGGGACAATGAACTGTCAAACCAATTTTCAAATTGCAATTTTTGAATGAAAATTTATTCAAATTCGTTAAAGTTGTTGAAAAATGCATCATAACAACCTCCAATTGACGTCGCATAAGAAAATGTTTGAAAAAAAACATTTTAAAAGTTTTGACATATCAATGTTCTCAAGCATTGATGCATCTACCTGTGTTCTTCTACCATCAACTGAAAACTTTTTATGTGCAAGGTGAGAGTACAAAAACAGCTTGAATTCTTCGTATGGCATATTTGTGACATATCCATAAAGGAATGCCAAAGCCGTACTCAAATTCTGCCGTCGTTTGCCTTTATAATTTGACATTAATAGGCCTAGCCATGATGCCAAGCTGCTTATGTACCGTCACCTTAACACATAAAATCACATATTATTTTAAATATTTTTCACCTACTAACTGAGTTAATGCTAAAATTTTTAACATATTTTGTTTTTATAAATATTAATTTTAAAACCTCTAAAAATTTTCATTTTTTCTAGTCACTACCAATAAATTTGCAAATGAGTTAAATATAAATATGCAAATAATAAAATCAATTCAAGATTTATTTTATAGCATTTTTTCTGTTTGTTGTTTTGATTTCAATTGACCTTGAAATTGAATGTGGGCAAAAAAAGAATATAAACTAATGCAAAGTGTAATAATTATTTCTATTGTTATTTGAAATGAAGTAAACGACCGGATTCTAATAATATGGAGGGCATTGTAATAGGTAAATAAATGTATATTTCGTTTTAAATTTTGTGGAAATTTTAGAAATTATTTTTCAATGAGAAGAAAGAAAAAAGAGTTTAACAATTTTGGAAATATTTATTTTTTTTTTAAGAAAATATGTTGTGAGTTTTCAAAATATTTTTTTGAATTCCATTAAAATTAATTTGTCAATTTTTATCTGTCGTCTTGTTTTTTTCTTTCTTTGCAAATGGCTATTGAGATCAGCCGCCGCATAACTTCAAGTCTAGCTATTCGATGACGTTTGCGGTCCAAAGTCATTGGACTTGTTTTTCTGTTGTTGTTGTTGTTGAACAACATAACTTACCTTTATGGTCACTAGACTGCCGGCCAGTGCAAGAATATTGCACAACATATGATATGAGGCCATTAGCAAAGTGAGAGCATGCGTCAAATGGCTCAAAATCAATTGAACACTGAAGTAACATATCGACAGAAATAAGACGATGTATAAGGGTGCCGGTTGAAAGCGATTCAGAAAACTAATATTGGGCATTTTCTTAAGCGGTGTGGATTGCGGTTTTGAGAAGAAGACTCTTTTTTTGGTGGTGGGATTGAGATTCTGTGACCAGTAAGAGTGCTGCAAGAAAATGGGAATAAAAACAAATTAGGAATTAGTTGGGATTTTCAAAGTCATTTACAAAAATAATATCATGTTCATACGAGAATGAATTTGAATGAATGAATGAATTCTTAAGGCTAAAAAGATCAAAGCTAAAAAAATAGTGACTTTGTAGTGAAAACTCAACACTGTTGCCACTTGTAGCTGATAACAGTGTTGTATTCTTACGTTTCGGCCTAAAAAAGCAATCGTTGAGAGTTAAATTCTTATTCTATGAAAATATTATTTGGAAAGTTTTATAAAATAATAAACCATGTTAATTGGGAGAATCAGAAGCCAGCCCATGGTATAATTATTACAGGGAATTCGCCGGGGATGAGCCAAAATACCGCAGAGCAACATTCGGGCAACGGGTGACGATTTCATTGGCCGTTTGAAGGCCATAATTCGTGTTAAATTTGACCAATTCCAAAAAATCTAAACTTATGCTAAAATTTGATGCTATTTCCGAGATTTTTGCTTTCATTCAATAAAATTTAAAAAAAAAAAAACTAAAAATTATGGTGATTGACTTTGTTGCAGTTTTGTTTTTATCTCACCCTGTATATTTTAACAATGAAATGTTGTCAAATGAATAATTTTGCAAAAAAAAATTGTAAACATATGATTGCATGACTTTACCTTTTTTATTTTACCACGCAAATATCCGTATATTGTCATCATTTATTTTTTTCAATTTAAACCAAAAGATAAACACAATTTTATTAAAATCATATTACAACTCAAACATTAAAAATAATATCCAACTCTGTATTTTTCCGTAATTTACCTTGTCAAATTTAATATTCATTGAAAACAAATTCCCATCTCTGGTTTGTGTAAATACAGTGGAGCCTGTCTAATTTGTCCAAAAATCCTAATGGCAACCCTTTTTATATTTGGAACGCTTTTCCAAAAAGTTTCATATCTGGAACTCATCTCCAAAAAAACAATTCTAAAAATAACTCCGTAACAAGAAAAATTCCATAACATAAAATGAAAAAAAGAAAAGAAAAAACAAATAAAGCTGTCTTATGTTTTTGCTTCAAACGAACGGAATAAATTCTGCGTTGTTTTTACATACGCGTGTGTCCATTGACATACATACACTATGAACATTTTTATCAGGTCACCTTGGAGGTGAGCGTAAAATGATAATATTCTCTCCGCTTAGATTCTCACGCTTACCGCGATCTATTATTTCATGTTACAATTTGTTTGTATATAAAAAAAAAATTGTAGAGAGCACTGGATGTTTTGTCACTGCACACATGTTGTGCGTACATTTCGAAGAAGGAAAATTCCATTTAATTTTGATAATTGATCATTGTCAGAGAAAATTAATAAAAAAATGGGCACGAGGCCTATTTTAAGTTTTTTTTTTTTTTGGTGCAAATTATATTTTGTTTCTCATTAAATTCGCTCCAAAATATTTTTGAATCATTAGATACACCCCATGGTAGAATTAAGAAGGTAAAGTCATGCAATCATATGTTTAATTTATTTTTTTTTCAAAATTATTCCTTTTTGCAATACCTTATTGTCTAAATATATATATTTATAAATCCATTGTATACACAAAAATCAGATACGGGAACCTCTTTTTTATTCAGTAAAATTTGACAGGTAAATTACAGAAATTGTATCCAAACGCGCTATAATATGCCATGCCATGATGCCAAGCTACCTATGTATCATTTCCTATATTCTCCAAAATAACCTTTCTAGTATTCGGAGTAACCATTTTTTATTAACTACCAATGTATTTGTCATATGTTTTCATTTCGAATTCAAAGAAAATTCTGGGGTGCACTATAAACAAAAGCATATCTTCTTGTCAATTCATCTCTTATCTCAAATCATGTCCGATTAACAACAAAATGATATAAATCAGCCATAAATTTTCTCACACATTCGACGATCATTATCTACCGTTACTTAATATCCAACTCAGGAGTAACATTTTTAGATTTTTTTTTTCAATGTAATAACTATTTTTAATGATTTCGTTTTATTGTTGTTAAGGAATCTATTAGCCACCAAACGTCATTGGTTAAAATTGGATATCGTTATTTTCGTTGGAATATTAATGATTAACAATGCCCAATCATGATTAACATGATTGCCGATGATTGAATTAAATTGATTTGTGATTTTAATCACGAACTACGGGTAAAAAGCTCTCACGAAGAGTGCTTGTTGTCAGTCGTATGCATGCGACTGCTGTTCTAGGTTGGTTTACAGGTGCTTGACGTATAACCGACAAGGTCATACGTTGATATGTTGTAATGACAGCATTGGAAAACTGCCAGGCCACACATCAAATTCGTTTCGAAGGAAGTAATGAATTAGAATTTCGACGAGGGATTTGGGTAAAATTTTCGGCAGAGATAAGAACAGAGGAAGCAAAAGCCCAAATATTGCCATTTTGGTGGTAAAAGAGGGTGAAAAACTGCAACAAAGCCAAACGCCATAATTTTTAGATTTTTAAAATTTTATTGAATGAAAGCAAAAAATGTCGAAAATAGCATCAAATTTTTTAATAAGTTTAGATTTGTTCGAATTGGCCACCTTTGGCACGAATTATGGCCTTCAAACGGCCAATGAAACCGTCCGTCACACGCTCCGCGAATGTAGCTCTGCGGTATTTTGGCCCATTCCCGGCGAAGCACTTGCTTGAGGTGATCGACACTTTGGTTTTTTTTTAGTGCCAACAATGTTCTGCAATGTTCTCCATTCAATATTAGAAAAGATAAGAATAATTGTGTGGCTGCGATTAGGTTAAGTTAGATTACTTTCAGTAGTACTTAAGGAACATATTTTTAAATAAAAACTAGAATTAAATATATTTGAATATACACCCAAACGTAGCGGTTGTATTCCTTTCTCATCACCGAATAGGGAATAGAGTTGACAATCGAAGAGGGAAATTGGATTCTATTCTCGTTTACAGGTGGAATTAAGAAGATATCTTTGGCCATTCATATGTTTAAAATGCTGGCAACATCTGATTGTCAAAATGTATATTCATAGCTCTAACAAATCGGAGATGAGAACCTATTCCCAGAACCAGATGTTATTATTATTTGAAATTATTGTGCGTCTTTAAAGGTGAGAATACATGGAAGGCCTTTTTGACTGGCTTAAGTCATCCGCTGGCTTCTTCGTAAAAGAACAAAGGAGTTTTAGGTTGCCTTAGTTCGATTTTGGCTTATAATTTATACTTGTTTACACTACTCTTCATAGATCTTTTCTATGTATTTTTACCCTAAAGGTGAGAATACATAGCATGCTTTTTTGGCTGGCTTAAGGCAACGGCTGGTTTCTTCGTAAAAGAAAAAAAGGAGTTTTAGATTGACATAGTTAGATTTTGGCCCTACGATGAATATGTTGACTTAAACCAGGCAAAAAAGGCTTCTATGTATTCTCACCCTAAGGTTTGGCACTGAATTTATAAATTAAGAAATATTTAAAAATACCAAATTCGACCCAAGTAATATGTATCCGATATTTTCTTAAAAAAAAAACAATTTCGTAGAGGAACAATGGAATTTTAGGTTGACATAGTTCGATTTTGCCCTGCGATTAATAAGTCGACTTAAGCCAGTTGAAAAAGGCCTTCAATGTATTCACACCTTAAGGGTTGCCATAGAATTTCTAAATTAAGAAATATTTAAAAATACCAAATTTGACCCAAAAAATATATATCCAAATGATTGCTATGTTTTCTTTAAAAAGCACAATTTCTTCACTCTTGTCATATATTTGATAATGATTTTTTTCTACTTTGACAGGTCTTCTATATGAATCCCTTAGGGTGGAAATACATAAAGTGCTTATCTGGCTGGCTTAAGTCATCGGCTGGCTTCTTCGGAAATTAACAAAGAAGCCTAGGGCCAAAATCGAACTAAATCAACCTAAAACTCCTTTGTTCCTCTACGAAGAAGCCAGCCGGTGACTTAAGCCAATCAAAAAACGCTTTATGTATTCCCACCTTTATACTTTTTATACACGCCTCACCCCACTCACACACATATGATTAAAGCAAAACAAACAAAAAATCCAATCAATTGATTAAAGTTCATTACCTTCAATAAATAATAAAAAACAAAAACATACCGGTATCTTTCGAATGCACACTAAACACCTCCAATACAAACATGACCGGCCGTAATTACTGTGTTTTTTTTTTTTTTTTTTGGACAACATTTGAACTTGACACAATTTGCCTTAAACGTTGCCGGCTGAGAACCATTTCTTTAGCCTATAAAGCAAAGCTGAAACAAAAGCGTGCGTGTGTGACACACGCATTATAAATATCAATGAAGTTTTTTTTTTTTTTGGAAGAGAATAAACCTTTATGGAAATCCACCAATAACGCCATGCCATAATATTAATAACCTATGCTAAATGCAAATATATACATTTGTGTATTGTGTTTCGTGCTTTTGCCTAGGCTATAAATAAACTTCGCTCGAACAACAACAACACCAACATCAACTAAAAACTGTCATACGCAAAAAAGATGACGTTTTCTCAGCCAGAAATAAAAAAGGAAACAATTTGACACAAGACTTGTTAAATGATATTGCAAATTTGATTTGGGGGCTCTGCTCTCTCTGTCTCCCTCTCCCTCCAAACAATTCATTTGTTTGCAAATACCTTTGACAAGTCGCGGGAATTCGTTAACAAAGATTGATTCAATTAAAGTAGTGTCTCAAAAATTAACATAAATTATTGCGTTTCTGCTATTTTTTTTTTTCTGTGCCTAGCCGCCAAAGCGGGAGAAATCTTATAACGGTTGGCTTTGATCCAATTGATTGGGGATGTTATTTAAATGTATGACCGTTTGTCTGATTAAATTTGTGTGTTAAACACCGGTAGAAACTGGACTTCGGCGAGTCTGAGAATTACACAAGATTTGTTAATTACAGATGTGAGGGCCGGCTAAAATGACACAATTTTCCGTTAAAGGAAAG